GTAACGGGCCACTTTTGGTTTCTCTGTGTCTTTGGCCTGGTTGTGGAGCAGCCTGAGATCTTTGTGTGTCTGTGAGAACCCAGACTGGACCGGACCTCCCTCAGGAGTTCTTCTCTGTAATTATGATTGGTCAGGACTCTGATGGAGGATTTTATTCCCACACATAGTCCTCCTTCTCATCCCCAGTCCAGGAAGTTATCATCCTTTCTTTAACGTCACACAAAACTGTACAGACGTGAGGCGAACTAATACGGTTACATCATCAGAGCCAGATTCCTGGTTTGGTTTGATTTTCAGAGAGATGAAACCACCAGTTTGTTTYTAAAGTCTTCTAACTTTTAGCCTCCAGAACTCCTGGAAATATGAACGCCCAACAGAAAACTTCTCAACGACTCAACRAAGGAAGATTTCTTTGGGAGGTTGTGAGGAAAGTTTGGACACAAACCAACAAGTTCAGATGGCTGAATGTCCTCTCAGATGTAGAAAAAGTTGAAGAGCCGACAGGTTTTTACCTCCATCGTGGCTAAAATTAAAGAGAACATTTTATTCCAGCTGATGAACAAGATTTATTATCCTGTTCCACCTCCAGGAAGAAAGCAGGAACACATAATCTTAGATTTGTTAATCTGGAAGTTTGCTCAAWTTTTATAACTGATTTCTTTTAATAAGCTTTTTTTTTTCTTGGTCCAGATCCTCCTGACAGAACTGGTCTGTCAGGTTTTGGCTCCATCTTCAAACCCTAGACCTGTTCWATGAGACTGGGATCAGGACTTTGTTGTCCTGAAGACTCTGTGTAACCAGCGTGTCCGTCTGCCGAGAGACAATGTGCATTTGAAGACACGTTTGAGGTTTTGTCACAGTTTGGTGGTAGTTTGGTTTCAGATTCTTGTCTGTCCACCCTACAAGAAACTACTGACTTTTTTTGGACCTTGGCTCGGTTCTGGAAACTTTCAGTGATCTATATTTTGGATTCTGACCCTAAATATTGCCAGAAATAACATGAGCTTTAACTTCCTGTCTTTCTTCAGATGTTGCTTCAACATTTCCACCTAATATTCTTGTCCTCGTGATGTTCAGTGAAGTTCTGCATTCCCCCTTGAAGTAAAACACCATACATCATGATGCTGCCACCTCCGTGCCTCACAGTCAGGCCCGTGGACCTTTCTGTGTRRAGTTTGYATGTTCTCTCCATGCATACATGGGTTCTCTCCGGGCACTCCGGCTTCCTCCCACAGACCAAAAACATGACTGTTAGGTTAAYTGGTAACTCTAAATTGTCCCTGGGTGTGAGTGAGAGAGTGAATGGTTGTCTGTCTGTTTGTGTGTCCCTGTGATGGACTTACGACCTGTCCAGTGTGTAACCCGCTCCTGTGACTGCTGGATATGGGCACCAGTGACCCCGAAAGAATCTGATATAGATAATGGATGGATGAATGAATTGAATGGGGGGATTTGTAGAAAAGTTATAAACAATATCTTACCTGTCGTAGCTCCTCTCCGAACATTCGATTCTCTTCTTGACTCTGCTGCTGTCAGGAAAACAAACTRTTCAGTAGTGTGATGGGATCCACACTGGCTGGTCAGTCCATTACAACACAAACCGAACACCAAAGAAGAATATCAAATGTGTCAAACTCTAAATGCAAATATTCAGTTAAATACAAAAGTTTGTTTAAATAAAGAAGATACGAGTTCTCCCTCTTCAGCAGGAACTGGTACAGTCCAATAATCCACTTCATGTATTTAAGTGTCAAACCCTGGCCACCATCTTTAGTCTGGCAGCTCCCAGGGATCACAGCAGGAAGAAACCAGTAAAAGACATGAGCACAAACAAAAATAAATAAGTTTATGTATAAGTAAAGTAAATCTGTACACTTACAAATAGAACAGATGTTTTTAAACCAATAACATTTTTTTTTTACAAACTAAGGTTTCAGTGTGTTTGGATGAATAAATAAATGAAGGCACATGACTTTAGTGAAGCGTGAAAACACACTGGGCCACCACAACCAGAGAAGTTTACTTTCTCCACCCAGCTCTTTTTCTACGATTTAGCAGACATGAGATCAGTTAATCCTTTCAGCTCAAACATCTGGAAACAGAATATTTATACACAGAATCACGGTTTTTGAACTGAGGCWGCATTTCTGGGTTTAATTCTGTCAGATTGCTGACTCTATGGAAGAACCCAAACAGACTCTGCACAGTGAAATCCTCAGCAGATGATGGGAAAAATGCTTTGTGAGAAGTCTTTTTTTATTGAATTCCCAACAAGTCGCCTGTACAAACTAATATAAAAACAGTTCTTCAGACCTTTGGAAGCTGGGTTTTGTAGAAAGGTTATGAGCAGGTAATATCCTACCTGATAGAACTGACTTTACTGTTGGACCTGCAGGACTTCAGCTGGATGACTCAGAAGGACGTTCTACAGGCTGCTGGACTTCATATCCTCTAGAACTGGACGAGAGAACCYGATGAGTCTTCTGAGCTGAAGGTCTACATTCAGTCCTCAGCTGCTGATGAAGTCTCTTCTCTGTAATTTGGGACATCAGGATGTCTCGACTGTCTGAGGACTGAAAGTCTGAGAGGAAAACCTTCAGCTGACCCACTTCAGAGCCTCAGGAGGTCCTGAAGCTTCAGGTCTGAACATATCAGGAGACCAGAACCTCCTCAGAGCTGAACTCTGAGCTCCAGACTCCTGAGTCTTGGTCCTGAAAACAGCAGCTTTTATTTCAACCAACCTCTGGTGAAGTTTGGAAACGTTAACTTTTTTGTTTCTTTGTGATTTTTTATTCTAAAAGTTTATGTATCCACAGCTGTTTAACATTTTATTCTCTGTTATGTGTAAAATATGTTTGAACACTTTGTCTGACATTCAAATCTAAAAAAAATCATATTCTGGTGGGTATTTTCTAATTTAAATACAAAAATCTGACTCAATTTTATTAAATTAGTAGAAAATATTACAAAAGGCCATATTAGCAACATCAACACGTTTTATACTTTCATGTAATTTTCAAAATTTAATCTTTCATTTTTTTTGGGAGGAGGAGGTTTTATTATTGAATAAATTTGTGCAATAATTTTATATGCTGAGGCCTTTAATTTGAAGATGTTATTGTTCATTTTTAAAAAGATTCCAGGATTATATCAACTGATTTAAAGTTAGTTTTACCAAAATTTATGTAGAAAATTTAACTTGTGTAATAAAATTATATTGGAGTATTTTTTGGGCTTTTAGTTTGAAGGCTTATTTTCCCTTTGGATGATTTAACATAGTACGTGTTATTTGGACTCATTTTGGACGACTCACTATTAACAAAGGGGTCGCCTGTAAACTTTGACCTTCACATGAAKAGGACCCATTAGGTGTCCACTGTCCAGCAGTGCTGTTTGACATTTATCCTAACGGCAGAGATGTTCCATGACACCTCTCATCTTTGGACAGGGGTATAAAACCATAAAGAACAACAAAATAGGACACAATTTTATTAAAAACTTTTCCAAATAAACAGTAATACAAGCAATATTAAAAACAAAAAACAGCCAAAGACAAAATGTTARTGTGCTGATATTGTGGAGTAATGACGACACAGGAGCTAGGTTCCAACACCTCGTTTATGCACAGAGAGCCAAACAGGGACGGTAAGCGCCAAAACAAATCTTCTACATAAAACATCATGTCATCTGGGTGCGAGTGGAGCCCCCTGGTGGTCCGCCACACACGGCTCCCCTGAACACCCAGTATGGTCTGTAGCTAGTCCAGTGGACGGGTTTGAGGACCTTGAACAGGCCATCATACAAAGGCATAGTGATGTCCTGTGCATCGTGCCAGACAAAAACCAACTTATGCTGCGTTCACACCGAACGCGATTTCAGCTTCAAAATCGCAGCCAACGCTGAAGTTTGAAGCTTGTGCACTTTGAGGTCAGACGCAGGTCAGCTCTTGAAGCGCTGCACGGCAGCAACAGCCTCCCCTCCCTCCTCTGTCGGGCTCTGTTTAATGTCAGACGAGGAAGTGGCTTTGCTTTATTTACAGAGCAAGAG